ACCTACCCTTACCAAAGCCTGAGGAGAGAGGCCAGGAAAGGCTTACCCTTCCCATTTCACAGATTAAGGAACGGGACCAGATTAAGTGAGTCTATGGCAAAGCTGAGCCCCCAAACCAGATCTTCTGATGCTCCACTCACGACCCCACAGACCTAGTCCCAACCTTAGGGAGGTGGAGGCCAAGCAAGGATTACCCTACCCATTTCACAGATGAAGAAACTGAGGGCCAGAGAGGGGAAAGGACTTGCCCAAGGTCACTTAGTGAGTCAGTGGTGAAGATGGGTCTTGAAAACAGATCTTATGCTCTGTTCGTGACCTGATGCTTTCTAATGTGGTCCTTATTTCTCTGGCAATTCAAGCTTTCCACCTATAATAGATACTCTTCCTCCTCTCCCTACTGCCCAACTTTGGAACATGCTCAGGGAACAATCCTAGTGACCACTTGGAAGGAGAGAGGCATCTACCTCACATTTAATGTCTAAAAGGTGCTTTGAAATCATAAAAGGGGTGTCAGATTGTGGCTGGGACCCCTTGCTGCTTGTAGATGGGCTCAACCAGGTAGGTCTCTGGGTTCTGGAGGGGGCCTCCATTGGACCCTGAGCTCTTGTGGGCTGGCTCTCCTCCTTTCTGTGGCTTTGCCCCCCTCCCCCCACTAGAATTCTTAGATAGATGGCCCACTCACAATCCGAAGACTTAACTGTGGAATTCTGGAATGTTAGTGTCTGAAGGGTCCTTAGAGCTCAGCTGATACATGACACCCCCCTCCTCCCTTTATAGATGGAGAAACCAAGAAACAGGGACTGGAAGAGGCTTTCCCCTGGGTCACACAGCCAGTCAGGTTTCTTCAAAGGGCAGGAGACATCGGCTGGGGTGGGGCACCCTAACCACAGGGTTAGGCCCTCCTCTCCTTCCTGAACCTCGTTCCCTTGTCCCTTCCTCCACCAAGCCAGAACTACAGCTAGTAGGAGCTGAGGAGGGGAAATGGGGCCGGGCTGGTCCAGACTTCTGGCACTGAGTCTACTGTTTCCCATAGACCCCCTAGGTAAGCAGGAGCTCCCAGGATTTGGGGAACCCTGGGACAGGAGTACCCTTGGTCCTCCACCCCATCTTTCCTTCCCTTCCCCTTACATCTGGCTCCCTTCCCTTTATCTCTTCTCCTCCATCTCCTTCTCCCTCTCCGTGGCTCCAAGCCTTTCCTTATCTGTCTTTCATCCCTCATTCTGTCCCTATCCCTGCCTCTTCCCCAACCTCACTCCCTTCCCTGTAATCATCTCATCCCTGCCTCTGACCTCATCTTCCCTTGTACCCAGCCCATCATGCTCCCTGACCCCAATCTCCATCCCCAACCTCATCTCTCGCTGTCCCTGTTTCCTTCTCTGTCCCAGGCATCCATTGTCTGCTCCCAATTCTCTCTGCCGCCTTCGACACTCTTACTGTTTCTTTTCCTTCTTCACCTGGGATCGGGAAGCAAGAAATCCAGCTTCTCTTTCCACCTCTTCCTCTGTCTTCTTTGGTCCTTTGCAAAGAGTCCTGATTCCTCACCCCTCTGTGTTCCCGTCCCCTGGCCCTTCACAGGTATCCTAGCCTTCCTCCTTGGCTGGGGGCTCCCCGGCTGTAAGGGCAGTCGCATTATTGGGGGCCGGGAGGCGAAGCCACACTCCAGGCCCTACATGGCTTCTGTGCGCTTTTTGGGTGAACACCACTGCGGAGGGGTGCTCTTCATGGCCCAGTGGGTGCTGACAGCGGCCCACTGCTTCTTCAACAAGTAAGAGGAACCTTCTCACTCCAGCTCCTGGGCCCCCTCTGGGAAGGATCCAACTAATCTCCCCAGGGCTTTCCCTTTTAACCCCTTTTTAACCTTTCCAGAGATTTGCCGCAACTATCTTTTAGACTCATAGATTGTCAAAGCTAAAAGGAATCCCACAAAACACAGAGTTACATCTCATTTTACAGATGGGAAAACTGAGGTCCAGAGAGGGAAAGAAGTTGGCCTAAAGCCATCCAGTAAAAATAGTGGCAGTGTCAGGACAAGACTTTAGAATATAAAACCCAGAAATAACTTACCAGGAGGAGGTTCTGGATTTCTTCTTGAGCCCTTCACATAATAATTTTTAATAGCACTTCAAAGTATGAGAATCCCTTTACATACATTATCTCATTTGAGCTCAATGATGACAATGCTTTGTTAGTTACTGCAGGTATGAGCACCATTTTACAGAGGAGGAAACAGAAGCTCAGACTCGGCCAGAGTCTCGAAAGGAAAGACAACACTTTCATACATTTCTTTTTTTTTTTGTTTTGGCTAGGCAATGGGGTCAAGTGACTTGCCCAGGGTCACACAGCTAGTAAGCGTTATGTGTCTGAGGCTGGATTTGAACTCGAGTCCTCCTGAATCCAGGGCCGGTGCTCTATCCACTGCACCACCTAGCTGCCCTGAGAACACTTTCATATAAAGAAAGCTTTTTCCTTATCCTACCACTTACTAACTTAAATGACTGTGTAAGCCAAAGTGACTTCAGTAAGGTTTTTCTAAGTCAGCTTCTTTACCTGTGAAAGAGATATTAACTTTCTCACTCCCTGCCTGATAGAGGTGGAACAAATATAGGTCATATTTAGAGCTTAGGCAGACCGTGCCATTTACCAAGCCCAACTCCCTCATTTGACGGATGGGGAAATTGAGGTTCAGAAAGTCCAGGGTTAACCCCTGTGCCCACCCTCCTCAAATTCTTTGACCTCTTCTCAGAATACCATGAGCCCAGGATTTAGCAATCTTTGGCAAGTTAAGACACAAGGATTAACCCCATTGTTAGGGTCACAGAATAATAGATTTAGAAGCTATCTAGGTGGCGCAGTGGATAGAGCACTGGCCCTGGATTTGGGAGGACTCAAGTTCAAATCCAGCCTCAGACACATAATGCTTACTAGCTGTGTGACCCTGGGCAAGTCACTTAACCCCAATTGCCTCCCCCCCAAAAAAAGCCATCTAATCCAAATCACCCACTTTACAGATGAAGAAACTGAGGTCCAGTGAGATTTGCCCACAGCCAGATGAAATTAGAACCCATGTTTTCTTGGTTCCAAATCTAATGCTCCATCCACTTTGTCACGCTTGGAGTGTGACACCAGGGGTTGGCTGGAGGGAAATAGATTGGAATTCAGCAATGTCTGAGGTCCCTTTCTGCTCTAGAGCCTCTGATCCTCCACAGCAGATTTTCAAAATGTGGACTAGTGGGTAGAGTGTCAGACTTAAGGTCAGAAAGAAAAAAATTCCAGCTCTTGAGACTTACAAGCTGTGGGACCTCAGGGAAATCATTTCACTTTCACAAGACTCAGTTTCATCATCTGTAAAACAACAGGGTTAATAATAACCAGCTTGTAGATCTTCTTGAGAGCAAGGACTGTTTTTTATTTATTTATTTATTTGCTTTTCTTTCTTTCTTTCTTTCTTTCTTTCTTTCTTTCTTTCTTTCTTTCTTTCTTTCTTTCTTCTTTCTTTCTTTCTTCTTTCTTTCTCCTTTTCTTTCTTTTTCTTTTCCGGTTTTTTTGGGTTTTTGTTTTTGCTTTTCTTTCTTTTCTTTTCTGTTTTTTTGTTTGTTTTTTTATTTTTTTCTTTTTGCTTCTCTTTATATTCCCAGAGCTTAGTGAAGAGCCTGGCATATAGTAGGTGCATAATAAATGCTTGTTGACTGACAGACTAATAACTATAGAACTTACCTCCCACTTTTGTTGTGAAACTCAAGTGAGATAATGCCTATAAAAATATTTTACAAACCTGAAAGTGCTAACAAATGTCAGTTGTTTTTGGCAGGCATACCAACGCATACCCTCGTCTTTCATTCTTGTATAGTCTTACATCTGTCTAGATCAGGAATTTTTAACCATTTTGTGACCTTGTTCCCTTTCGAAGTCCAGTGAAGCCTATGGATGGTCCCCTTTTCAGAAAAAAATGTTTTTAAGTACGTGGAATTAAATCCAGAGGATTATGTTGTTTAGTCCTTTTTCGGACCCCTTTTGGGGTTTTCTTGGCAGAGATACTGGAGTGGTTTGCCATTTCCTTCTCCAGCTCATTTTTCAGAAGAGGAAACTGAGGCAAATAGGGTGAAGTGACTTGCCCAGGATCATACAGCTAGTATGTGAGGTTAGATTTGAACTCAGGAATAGGACTTCCTGACTCCACACCTGACACTCTACACACTTTGGCACCACCTAGTGCCTACAGAGGATTATAAAGGAAACCAGTTTTATTGAAATAGTTAATCATATTTTTTAAAAACAAGTTCACGGCCCTGAGGTTAAGAATTCCATGCTCCAGATCCCCTCCAAGACTCTTGTCCTTACCATCTGAACCCCAGGAAAGAGCCTGGGTGGGTGGGGGGAATTAGGGACATGAAGACCTGAGTTCAAATCCTAACTCCATCATTCACAAGTTGTTATAAATGAGCCCGTGAAGCCCCTCCCTAGCTAGAGCAAGGCTTAGTTCCGGGCCCTATAATGAAACTACGGTCCTATGTGACCTTGAGCAAGTCATTTCCTTCTTTGAGCCTCAACTTCCTCATCTAGAAAATAGAGATATTTCTGTTTGCACTCCCTCCCTCCCAAGTGCTTTGTAGACAAGAAAAAAGAGAAGTAGAATTCTGAGTTAGGGCCCTGGTACCTAGACTGGCTCTCCCCAGAGGGCTGGGTCCCCCAGAGGCCTTCTCTGAGGGGAGCAGATTGGACAAGTATCCCCCTTTCTCAACACAGAGACAGCAGCCATGCCCTGGTAGTGCTGGGTGCCCACTCCCCCAGCGACCCCGAGCCTACTCAGCAGGTGTTCAGAATACAGCGCTCAATTTTGCACCCGTACTATGACCCCGTGAGCCATCAGAATGACATTTGCCTACTGAAGGTAAGCTAAAGAAGGGGAGGTGTTCTCTCTGCCCCTTCCCCTTCTCCTTCCTGGTATCCAGAGTTTTTTGTCATTTTCACACATACGCAGAATGTTGGGGCTAGAAGGAATCCTGGCACACAGAACCATAGCGAGTCTGAGCTGGAAAGGTGCTTAGAGATCATAAAATCCAATTCCCTTTGGTTTGAATATAGGGAAGCTGGGCCCCAGAGAAGGAAAGAGACTTTCTCAAGGTCACAAAGCAAGTGGCTATAGGAACAGGTATTACTTAGCCCAGAAGGCTGTAGGCAGAGGGAGGGGCTTCATAAATGGGTACCTCTCAGCAGAGGCAGGGGTTTGTAGAGTGGCCAGCTTGTTATAAGTGGAAGAATAATGAACCCCGAGTATGGAGAGACTCGGGTTTGGTTCCTGCTCCCCACCCTGGCACCCTGACGGTGAGTCCAGTCAAGATCATCTTTCATAGCCTCAGTTTTCCAGTCTGTCCTCCAGCACTGCAATGCTGTGATCTCATCAACATGGATATTGCTTTCAAAGATGCTTCTCGTAACACATCCATGCCTGTCCGTCCATCCTATGCAATTCTCCTATGTGCCCTCCCATGAGTTCACTACAAAGGGTCCATTCATGGTGCTGAGGGCCTTCTTTGAATCTAATTGTGATAAGAATACCCCTAGACTCTGTCTTTGGGGGTCAAGTGGGATACTGTCTGCAATTTAAGCTCTTTTCAAATATTATAATCCTGCATAAACACCAGCTATTATTACAACAGGAGGTATTTAAACTAGAATTCAGGAGATTTTTCCTGTTGCCTAGGGAGTGGCCGGTGCTCTGTTGTGGGGGGAGTGTTGTGGATATGACCCTGTGGCTAGCTTCCTGATCGGCAAGCCACCTGTCTCTGCTCCCCAGCTAAATCGCAAGGCTGTCCTCAGCTCCTCAGTGGGACTGCTGAAGCTGCCCAGGGAGGGTGTCGACCCTGAGCAGGGCACAAAGTGCCTGGTGTCAGGCTGGGGCTCTCTGTCTGACTTCGGGGAGTCGCCGCAGGGCCTGATGGAGACGGACGTGAGTGTACTGGGTCGGGAGAGCTGTAACAGATCCTGGAAAGGCCAGGTCAGCAGCAAGATGGTTTGTGCCAACAGTGGGAGCTGGAAACACAACGGCTTCTGCACGGTGAGTGACCCGCCAGGTTCCTAAAGGTCACTGAGTCCAGCTATCCCCCTAGCTCCTGGAAAAGAAGGCCTAGCCCAGGGAGTCTTTGCCCTATTGTCCTATATGAACTGTAGAATCAGAAATCTAGAATTTGAAGGAACCTCAAAGGTCAACTAGGAGGAGAGCGAGCACCAGGAAAGTAAGGTGACTTGCCCACACAGCTAGCATCATAGGTGAGATTTGGACCCAGGTTCTTTGATTCTATGTGGGCAAGCTAGGGGGCTCAAAGAGGCACTCGTCTTGAGGGCCTTCCCACTCCCCCACTGGCCACTTCCACATATGGTCCTGCCTGATGGTAGATGTACTGCTCAGCTCTCTTCTCCTTCTTACTCCCTTAGGACTCTCTGAAGCTGGCCAATCTTGGTCCTGAGACAAGGGAAAAGGTGGAAGAGACAGAAACAGAAGAGATAGAGGGTGGGACTCCAAAACAAGAGAACACTGGATTTGGGCCTAGCCTGGTTGACTCTCATTTTCCTCTGCTGTAAAATGAGGCAATAGCACTTGATAGAAGTGACCTTTTTAGTGTCCTGAACCCCTTTGGCAATCTGGTGAAGTCTGTGGATCTTTCTCACAATAATGATTTTTAAAAAAATCTTATTTGAAGGAAATGCCCAATTTTAGTTAGAGGTTAGTGAAAATGAAGACGTAATTTTTTTTCCATCCAAGTTCACACATTCCATTGAAATCTATCCACAGGAGGGGGGATCCTAGGTCAAGAACCCCTAGACTAGATCCTTGGACCTCAAGTTAAGAATCCCTGGACTAGATTATCTCTCTAAAGTTGTTCCCAGCTCCTCATCTATGATTTTGTGAGGTATCATTCCCATTTTACAGATCAGGGCACTCGAGGGCCACAGAACTTTAGAACTAGAAGGGGTCTCATTGATCACTGAATCCAATCCACTCATTTTACCAAGAAGGAAACTGAGCCCCAAAGAGAGGGAAGGACTTTGATAAGGGCCAGAGCTAAGACTAGCCCCCACAGCCCCCGGCCAGGTGGGGGCTTACATGGAGTAGAGCCAGTTGCCAACGTGGGACCCCCAGGATCAGCACTCTAACCATCAGGACCCTTCTCCCTGCCAGGCTGACTCTGGAGGACCCCTGATCTGTGGAGAAGCAGCCCAAGGCATTGTCTCCTTCTCCGGCACCTGGTGTGGAGACCCCAGCACCCCAGATGTCTACACACTCGTCTCTGCCTACATCTCTTGGATCCAGTGTGTGATCCAGGAATCCAAATAGGCTCCACTGTTACCCCTTTGACCCCTCCCCACCCTAGCCTCAGATATGGCTCCTGGCCTGAAGCAAACAAGATACTAAAGATAAGTGTATGTAAATTATATGTTAATTGTATGCAGATTATATGCAGGGCACTCCCTCCATGCCAATAAAATCATGCAGGGAGCTAACGGCCTGGCTTCTGACTTTCCCAATTTTCTCCTCCTTTGGAGAATATCCCAAGCTGCTGTTATCCAGGACCTTTCCACCCTCCCCCATCTCCCCACCTCAACCCTCATGGCTTTGACACCTGGAAACACCTGGAAACACCTGGATTGTGGGTCTAGCAGTGATGGCAATTACTACTTCCCAGCTCCAGCTACCCACATGTCTGTCTTCCCTACTTTCTTTTCTTTTTTTTTTATTAATTTATTTTGGTTTATCAACGATCACCACTTCCTTCCCACCACCCTCCCCAAGACAGCACACAATCTGATACAGGCTATACATACACATTCCTATTAAACATATTTTCATGTTAGTCATGTTGTAAGGAAGAATTAGAACCAATAGGAGGAACCACCAGAAAGAGGAAACAAAACTCAACAGAAGAAAAAAAAAATTAGCCAATAATATACTTTGATTTTCATTCAAACTCCATAGTTCCTTCTTTGGATGTGGATAGCATTTTCCATCACAAGGCCTTTGGAGATGTCTTCCCTGCTTTCTGCTCTCTTCCTACTTCTGTTTCTTTCCCACCTGCTTTTTTTTCTTCATTCCCTGTCTCTTTGCCTCTACCATTCCTTCTCTCTCTCTCTCTCTCTCTCTCTCTCTCTCTCTCTCTCTCTGTCTCTCTGTCTCTCTCTCTCTCTCTCCTCTCTCTCTCTCTCTCTCTCGTTCCTTCCTTTCTTATCTTTGTCTCTCTTATTGTCTTTCCCCTTCTCTATCTCCCTCTCCTGTCCTGTGTGTCCCTCTCTGTCTGCCCCATCCATCCTCATTCCCATTTCTCCATATTCTCCAGCCTGCCACCAGGTGGCAGCCCTCAGCTAGATCATCCCATTCCCCTGTATCTGATTCCTGGTCAGTGTCCCCTTCCCTGCACCCTCCTCCAGGAACTCAGCCCAGAAATGGGCAAGATCGCACACTGGAAGTCCTGTTGAGACTGTCAACACAAACCCCATCATTTTGCACATGGGGAACCTGAACCAGACGGGTGGTGATTTGTCTGAGTGGACGCTGCCAGTCCCGGAACCCCAGCCTCTTACCTCCCCCGCCCCGCCCCCCGCCTGGGACTCCACCCAGCCCCCATGCTCAGAATGAGAACAAGAGAACTTCATTTATACCGATCTTTTTACTTTCCAAAGGAAATCACCAACATTCCCACGATCCTCAGGCAGGGTGAAGTGCTCTTGTTTGGATTTGAAAAAGGGAGAAACTGAGGACCAGAGAAGGGAAGGGATTTACCCAAAGTCACACAGTGAACTTTGAGGACCCTGAGCCGCCTCCCTCCCCCAAGAAAGGAGAAAGGAGAACAGATAATTGGCACTTGGGTGGGGAAGGCGATACCTTCCCTCCAGTACAGGGGCCTTTCTAAGGACAGTCTGACTTTGTGGGAAGAATTTGGCTTGGGAACTTTGAGTCTCAGGATAAAATGGGGCCAAGGGTTGAAGCTGGGGATCCCTCTCCCAAGACAAGTCATGGAAGGCCTATGGCATGGAGGGCACCATATGGAACCTGGCTTCCTCTACCCCCAACCCCAACACACACACCCCTTTTATCTCCAAGTTGGGAGCATCATTACACGTTTTGGGATTGGGGTCCCCCAAACCACTCGAACTCAAGAGCCGGGTAGATCTCTGCCCCTTATTCTAGGAGGAAGGGGAGAGGGGGAACATACATACATGGATTCCACCCTCTGCACAGCCCTTAGGGCCCAGAATTGCATCAGTAGGGTCATTAAGCGGGAGGGATTGTGAAACCCCGGCTGGGAGTCTGTCTCTGACCCTCTCTGCGGCTCCCTTGATGGCCCCGTGGAATGTCGAAACATACGCCCCGCCCCTCCCCCCTCACAGAGCTGCCAGCCACCCCCCCCTCCCTGAGATTAGCTCGCCTTCTTTGGGACCCTCCAAGGTATTCGCCATTTCCATCCCCCTCCCACCAGTACCGCGGCTCATGGCAGCTCCGGTCAGGCTGTAATAATCCTCCCAATTTCTCCCTTCCTCAACAAGGGTCTCTGGGAGTTGTCTAGAAGAGAGAACACAGCTGGAGGCTGGGGGGCCATAAATATGCCTCCCTCTTCATAATAAATAGGGTTGCCTTGGCTCTGTGCAGGACCTGCGGCGTCGCCTCATACGGAGTTATCCTCCACCTCGGCCAAAAGCCCAGCCAACGTGGTGCTGACTGCAAGGAGAGAGAGGAGGGAGGAGACTCAGGGAGCTGAGGAGGCGCAGGGTCTCCCCGTAAGGCTGACGACTCCCCGAGGATAGGACCATGTGTCCCCACTAGGGCTGAATCTCCCCCCCTCAGACCTGGGGCTTCCTGAGGACAGAGGCTAATTAGGCCTGGTGGCTCCGGGGCCCTCCCCGACCCTGAGTCCCCGGCCAGGAAACCTACCTGTGCAACTCCCAGAGTGCCGAACACCAATGGATCTGCCCAGGAAGCAGGTTGCCTGACGAAGGTGGCAGGAAGAGGCATAGGTGACGTTGTTGTTCCCACACAGCTGCTGGTTGGGGCTCGAGGGCATAGGGCAGGGGGCAGAGCGACAGATGACACAGTGGGCACTGCCAGTTTGGTCCACCACACATGTATGAGTCCCTGGACACACCACGAGTGAGCAGCTCTCTGAGGGGGAAGTAGGCATCAGAGGAGTTGGGTCAGTAAGGGGATGGAGGGCTAAGCCAGAGGATGAGGGGTCAGTGAGGGGATGGTGGGCTGGGTAAAGGCAATGGGTGCTCTGTGAGGGGGATGGAGGGCTGAGTAAGGGAGATGAGGGGTCAGTGAGGGGATGGTGGGCTGGGTAAAGGCAATGGTGAAGAGGTTGGGAGGTCAGTGGGGGATGGGAGGTCAATAAGGAAGAATGAAGGGTTCAGTGAAGAGTATAGCAGACAAAGATGATAATAGCTAGCATTTACATATCACCTTAAGGTTTGCAGAGTGCTTTACAAATATCTTATTTGATCCTTACAATGACTCTGTGAGGTAGATGCTATTATCCGCATGACAAAATTGAGACAGAAGTGATGTGACTTGCTAGTAGTCACACACAGCTAGTAGTAAGGGTCGAGGTAAGATCTGAACTCGGGTCTTCCTGACTCCAGGTCCAGTGCATTATCCACCCTGACACCTCCCTGGCTTAATGGGGGGGAGGGATCTCAGTGAGAAGAATGGAGCTTTCTGCCAATGGGATAAGGCGAGAGAGAGGTGGGTGAGCAGAGATGAGGCTGGTGTCTCACTTTTGCAGTGCCCCTGGTACATGACGCCCAGGTCTGGGTGCCCCTGACACTTGATCGTCCGCAGCTCACACTCGTCCCTGTAGGTGACCCCATCAGAGCCACAGACTTGCAGCTGCATAGGAAGTCCAGAGCAGTCCGGGGCACAGGCGCAGTGGGGCCGTCCGCTGTGCATCTTGCACACCTTGCCTGGACCACAGTCCACTCCCTCACAGGTCTCTGGAGACAGAGGGAGACAGAATGAGCTTGGCAGAAGCAGTATGGCCCATCCTAGCACGCCAAACTGAAAAACAAAAAAGCGACGTTCAAATCCTTCCTGAAACAAATCACAGATAATTTAATGCTGAGAATAATTTTAAACCACAGGCTGTACCTGTAGTTTCATTGACTTTGGGAGTGCACTCTCTACAACCAAATCTTAGTTGCCTAGAGACCCCAGAGGGGCAGCTTTCTAACCACCACCCCACACTACCCTCTCTAGTCACTGATAGTCCAAAAATCATGGCTAATCTAGAAACACATACTTGTATAAAAACAGATACAATAGAGAAGCACAATCTAACCAACGACAAATAATAATAGGTGAATTTTTTAAAATGTGGATCTCCCCAAACAAGTTCCCTCTTTCCTTCTCAAAATGAAAGAATAGGGGGCAGCTAGGTGGCACAGTAAATAGAGCTCTAGCCTTGGAGTCAGGAGGACCTGAGTTCAAATCCAGCCTCAGACACTTGACACTTACTAGCTGTGTGACCCTGGACAAGTCACTTAACCCACTATTGCCTCACCAAAAAAAAAAAATCAAAATGAAAGAATAATATTAAAAGCTGATACTTCTATGGTGCTTTGAGATATGCAAAGTCATTTACATGTTTCATTCATTTGTTCTTCATATCATCCCTGGCAGGTAGATACTAAAAGTGTTATTATAATAATTTTATTGATGAAGGAACCAAGGCTTGGAAAGGTCAAGGGATTTACCAGGAAGGCTAACAAATAGGAGGGGCAGCTGGGTGGACCAGGGGATAGAGTGCCATGTCTAGAATCAGGAAGACTAGTTCAAATGTGGCCTCAGACACACTAGCTGTGAGACCCTGGGAAAGTCATTTAACCCTGTTTGCCTCAGTTTCCTCATCTGTAAAATAAGCTGGTGAAGGAAATGGCAAACTGCTCCAGTATCTCTGCTCAGGAAAACCCCAAATTGGGGCAGCTAGATGGCACAGTGGATAGAGCTCCAGCCTTGGAGTCAGGAGGACCTGAGTTCAAATCTGACCTCAGACACTTGACACTTACTAGCTGTGTGACCCTGGGCAAGTCACTGACCCCAATTGCCTCACAAAAAAAAGAAAGAAGACCCCCAAATAGGGTCATGAAGAGTTGGACACAACTGAAATGACTGAACAACAACAGTAAGTGTTGGGGGTGGTATTCAAACTCAGGTCTTCTTGACTCTAGTTTCATCTCTACATCTATTTGTCTCAGGAGATAAGCATTAAGTGCTAAGTAAGATAAAGAAAGATAAAAACAGTACTTGCTCTTAAAGAGCTTATATTCTTTACATATGTATATATATATATATATATATAGGATTACATATTTCCCAATTACTTATAAAAACATTTTAAAACAATCATTCTTTAAGCTTCTGAGTTCCAAATTCTCTCTCTCCCTCCAGAAGGCAAGCAATTTGATATCAGTAATACATGTGAAGTCATGCAAAACATATTTCCATATTAGCCATGTTT